TGACTCGCTTTTCCTTAGAATTTTTTTGCGGAGCTGTTATACAACAACCTCAATTTGCATCCTCCTAACAAACAAAAGTTTCTCTGAAAAAACATATTTCTGCTTTAGTGCATTATTCATCCAAGCTGTCAATAACTCCAGCTGCACTACATGCAAAGAATAAATCATGTATGGATGAGACCTTTAGGTTCAAATGACTGACCCTCTGTATCTCACTGCCGTGGGTGTAGCCCACTGTTATTACAGCTCATTCTGATGCAAAGCTATACAGTTCTGGACCAATTGCTCCCTAATCAAAACAGTGGCAGATGGATAGAAGTGTATTTTAGGACTGTTAAGTCTTTTTTGGGCGATCAGTATATGAGGCGTGAGGAGGTATTATAGCACTCTATATTCACAACGACAAAATGGCGACTAAGCGAGGACAGATGTGTGAATTAGAAATGAGGGCCATGTGGAGCCTTCCATTTTTAGACCCTATATTTATGGCCTGTTAAAAGAGTAATGACCATCAAAGACCTGTAAAAGAGAGGAATTGCCATCAGAGCCCATATCTAAAAGGTGATTTATTCCTCTCTAATGGGAGGGAAATGGTGCTCGGCACATCAAAGGACAAAGCAACATACTGTAGTGTAAAGACACTGAATATAAATGTATTCTTTTTTTCATGCATCTTCACTTAACTGATTGTTTCTTAATTTCAGGTATATTTGAAAGAGTTGTATTAGATTATGGTTGGCAACTTTTTCAATTGTAAGTGTGGCAGTGTGGTCTTGCTGAGGTTTCAAATGTATCAACCAAGCCTTTCACCAGCTGGTCAAATCCAACAATCTCAGCGGATTAAAGGAACCTACAGTAGTGCGGTTTCTTGTGGGTTTGGCAAAGCGGAACGCAGTCTGACACGCAGTCTGACACGCAGTCTGAGTTGGCTTTGCTTTTTGATTCATTTCAAACCAAAAAAAAGGAAAAACGATGTGTTCATAGCTCGCCAGTGCTTCGTGAGAAAGAGAGATTTGGGCTTGGCTTCCTGTGCCTACTGAACTGATTAACAGTCCTACAGAACCACTGGCTCAGTTCAGCAGGAACAGGAGTCCAGTCCACTAACCACCCAACAAGACGCAAAGAAAAGCACAAGTCTCAACCTTTATTGGACAAATGAAGGATTCTGGATTTTGTTTCAAAAGAGACTTTTTTGTTGTTGAATGATTACATCTACGTTGTTGTCACAATGTTCATTTGATTGTTTTTTGTTATGTATTTTACTGTATAAAGAGATCATTTATCAATTTCATGCATTTAAATGAAGACTTTCATGGAACTATGTACATGTAATTATCTTAGGACACTATGCCACATCTAACACGTTTGGACCTTCTTTGTAGAGCCAGGCTGATAAATCATTGTTTGTGGTATTAACCTTCACCATACTGTAGTAGTGAATCTATTGCTGATACAATGTGTCCATTCAGTGATTAGTTCATCGGCAGACAATTCATTGTAAATACATTTGATAATCAATAAGAATAAGGGCTGATTTAATTTTTAACCGAGTTTATAATAAGAATATCTTTGTGTTCGGTTGGACTTGAAAAAATGGGCAGTTTAAAGATTGGGATTTGGTTTCTGGAAAATAGGTCACATTTGCTAATATAAACCTAAGTCTAAACAATTCATCAACATATTTAACACATTTTTAGATTAGTCATTTGCAGCCCTAATTGTGTTTTCATTAGTATTTACTGTAAAACTGCAGATTATTTTCTAAATACTGTTCTGTAATTAATTAAAGAGATCCTTCAACAACTCTAATGGTCGATCTATTCACAACGGATTCTTAAACCCTCAAATATTTTGTTGCTTTAGGCCAAACAATATCGAATGTGGATTTTTTTCGTCAAGACTGAACACACAGTATTTTTAGCAGAGAGATACTAACTGTTCCGCCCCAGGATATCAAAGCATCCCAGATGTTCTGTAATGCTCTAATCTGAACATTTCTCTCTCTTCCAGGTTCCAACTACAGACGGAGCTGACAGGAGCTTGACTCCAATCAGACTGCGAGGGTCCAGCGCTCACCTCCTCTTCCTCTGTCGGGGGGGGAGATGCTGCAGAATCACTCGGCAAGGTGGACACCAGAAGGCTGCGCTCTTACAGCCAAGGCAAACTGGCAATGTTCAGAGGCAGCTCTGTCCATGTCTAAATAAATAACTGTCTGTGAACAAAAAGCAATGCAAACTGTTCCTATAAGGATGCAGGGTGGTTTACGACACTATGCTGTAGTACAAGAGTAAAATGACATCATGCCACCTGTCTAAAAGGATAGATAGTGGAAGAAAAGAGAGGTATTCTATGGATAAAAACACTGCACAGCCATCGTTGTTTAAAGAACCTGAGCTGCTGTGTTTAAGTTTGCTCTGCGTGTAGGTGTGACTTCATGTGTGTTTAGTCTGAAGCCATGATCTGGTTCTTAAGAGTTTAGATAGCAAATACTTTCAGGTGAGTCATATTTTTATACATAACAAATTACATCTGACCACTGTCCTGTAATGACACTGGAAAATACGTGTAAATGAGGGTTTTGTAACTGCTATGTTAACAAATAATCATCAGACTTGATACGTTGAAGCTAAAAACATTTTCATATTAAACACATTACTTTTTTAAAGCATTCATTGAAGGAGGAAAACCTGGAGTTAGTACAGCCTGCCTACTAAACTGATTTGATGCTAACAAGTAGAATTATTAGAGCCAGATACATTTTCAGATAACCTAAACATGATATAACCTATTTCTGGTGGTAGTTCTTTTATACTGTCATACATAAAGGTTGAGTGAAATCCAAGTCATTTTTTAACAAACCAGGTGAAAATATGTTATATTTCTGTATTAAAAAGTCACTGAACAAACTGTGTACTAAGGTGTGATGCTTCACTACAACTTCTCCAAGAGGTCAGACCGTTGTGTTGACTGCAATATCGACCTCAATAAGAACACCCTTCTATTGTATTCAAACAAGGGGATATCATTTTTTAAATTTTGCTTTTGAACCCACTCGCGCGCGTGTGCGTGTGTGTGCGCGCACACACACACACACACACACACACACACACACACACACACACACACACACACAGAGACTGTTCAGTCGAAGCATATGAAGGGTAAATGCAAATGGTACATTTAAATGCCTGCACTTCAAATGATGCATCAAAATGAAACGATGAAAATGTAATTCTCCATTTTTTTTAAATAATGAAGAAATAGGAAACAACAAAGAGAAAGAAGTGACATCCATTTATTTATATTTTATCATATTTAAAGTACTCTTTGAATATCTTATCAATAGAAACATTTGAAAACAAATAGTATTTATACAAAGATAAGTGGCAATTATTTTTCCTTTTCTCCAAAAACAAATGTCTTTCAGTCAGCATGTATAATGTGAAGGATTCTTTTTGGTAAGCTAATTTTATGAGTGGGAGGACTTCAACACAATGTACGAGCTGCTGCTTCTTTATAGTGTGATCTGTCACTGCTCAAGTGTCCTTGTAGTTTTGTGAGTGTGTGTGTGTGTGTGGTCTGCGCATATAATTGTAGCTTCTCCACATAATCTGTCCCTGCTGTGTTGTTTTGACACACTCCTGTCACCGCACCGCAGCACATCTAGACAAGAGCCTGGCTATTTGTCATTCTGCAAAGGTGCCCTGAGAAAACCTGCGTCGAGGATGAACTCACTGCTGCGTGGCTCTGTGATTAATGTTTGTGTGTGTGTGTGTGTTGGCAGGATTCAATGCTGCACACATATGTGTTAGTGTGTTTTGAAGTGCCTTGATCCTGAGATGAACCCTGTTGGTGTCGCTTGATAAGCAGCTATCTTCGTTGAGTCTGAGCTCCAGTGAGCTGAGAACACACACGGCTTCATTAACCAGACCAGACCGGTTCACCACCTGGACACACACAAAGATAAAGAAAATATATGATTGTTGTAGTACAGCTTTACCAGGAAATGATAACTTGAAATGGTATTACTTTAAAAGATAAGGGGCTTGAAGTCATTAAATGAATACTGTGTGACACTGGGGAAAAGCTCCAGAAAAGCTATAAAGTGGACCTCGAGGTATGATTTTCTTTTATGACAACTGCTTTTATAAGGTCAAAAATGAACATCCAGTCTCAAGTAAAAAATATATTGTATCGGGACAAAATGTACACCGAGTGCATGTGCATGACTAACCATGGGATGTGTGGAACAAGATGAGATAATGTCTGAAAGAGATTTTTGGTGGACGAAAAACAAATCCTTTCCTCACCGTTTGTAGAATCTCTGTTGACCCACTCAGCGATTGTTGGAAGAAAACACAGAAGTTGACTAAGAGACTGAGAATCAAAAAGGGTGACGGTGATGTTGGCTGAGGTTTTGGGGACAGCAGAGTGACCAATGACTGCACGCGGTCAACAGGAAGAGGATGAGCTAAGAACAGAGAGCGTAGGTGGTCCCATGCTTCTTTGGCATGTACCTGGAAACACAGAGAACAGGATACAGTTATTCACAGCCGACATGTTTATCCACAGTCCACGCTGGAATGAAGATAATTGATTTAAGTTTCTTTCCTACAAAACAAAAATCAATTGATTAGTTATTCATTGTTGATTGAACGATCGTAAAGGGAGAGACGGCGGCGACGACAGCGAGTCTCCCAGGTTACGAGAGGAGGCGGACACACAGGAGACAGAGAGATGAAACTCAGGCCAGCTGGCCAGACACTCACTGAGGAATCAATACTACATCGCCCTCTTCACCCCTCCCTCATCTGTTACTCTCTTTGCCACTGTCTCCTTCTCCCCCTCTCAGATCATCAATAATGTATCATTTAATGTGTTATTCTTCTTTCTCTATATTTGTTCCATGGCTTTCAACTACAAGTAGCATGACAACAGACCATTCAAAGTGTTATGTTGTTGAGTTATGATATTGCACGTGCTATAGATAGACTGGATATATCCACACTACTACCTTCTCTAGTCATATCAAACAAAGCTCGGCACATCAGTAGTAGGGAACGTTTTTTTTTGTATTATACGATTTGATTCCAATTTGATTCTTGGCGTCACAATTCAAACTTGATTCCCGGTTACCAAATAACTTATTTTACTCCAGTCTACTGTGCACACAAAGGCTAACTTAAGACAAAAGGTGACATTTATTTATGCTAAACTTTACTCAAAACATTTTTGATATTGTTCATCCCTCAGTGACCTCAACGATATAGGGTTCAAGTTATACATACAAAGGTTTCCAAATGAAATGGTAAACAAGACCACAATTACTTCTTTAAGAGACTGGGCACAGAAGTGTTTTAAGCTCGAGACCAGCATGCTAACTCGCTCACAATGGCAAGGCTAAAGTTGATGTTTAAAGGTCAAATGTTTAGCATTGGACATCACTAAACACAAAGTACAGCTGTGGCCGATGGAAATGACATCAGGTTTGTACTTGGTCATAAATTAAAGATTAAACAATGAAATGTAAGTGATACTAGGGGAAAAGTCAGGGGATATATCCTCTGGGGACCATGAATGTTTACCAATTAGATTAAAAAAAGTTTACCAATTAGATTAAAAAAAACTTGTAATAATATATTTTATCCATATTGTTTTTGAAACATTACCAGCTGGGACGCTCTGTGGTGCCCTCTGTTGGTGGGGTGGTGGTAGAAGGTGAGCAGCCACAGGGGGGGGGCCGCAGTCCTCAGGCTGCGATGTGGCCAGCAGCTGGACGGCCACCTGCACCCAGTGGGCACACTGGATCAGCAGGAACCAGGCCTCAAACACCCTGAGGTGCCCCCTAGAGAACAGACCAACACACACACAGAGAGCTGCCTTTATCCGTACGCTGGGCATCATGGGAGCTGAAGGACTTTCTGCAAGTAGCACTGTCTGACTGTCTGAGCAATTACTATAAGAGTAGTATAGCGTAAGCAGAAGATCCTCGTCAAATGGAGAGACTGTGAGACTGCAGCTAGACCCTTCCCTTTTTCTGTTCTGCATGCTGCATGAATATTATACTATTAAAGAAATAACTGAATAATTTATAGTACAAATCAGCTATTACCTTGAGCATAATAAATATATTTGACCTACTAGCATGGTAGCAATTTTCATTAAATGAGTCAGCAAGTCAACATACTACGAGACAGAGCTCAACCTGGACCTTTAGATACAACATTTGGTCAAATGTATTATCTTTTTTCTATTTCAGTTTGTAATGGTGGGTTATAAACAAAGCATTCTACTGGAACCTCCTGGGTAATTTAACTTGCAGTGCTATAAATAGGTTTTAATATCTATAAAGATTTGGGTGGTTTTCACAGGAAGCACAGTGTACACCCAAATTGTTCTCCAAACATTAAAAAACAACTTGGAAAAAAAAGGAGAGAAAGGGGGGATATTATAATACATGTTAACAAATTGCCAATGGAACCAAGTAAAGTTGTTCAGCAAAGTTTTAATGAAATAATTTGCTGTTGAACCCTCCCAGCCCTATAATAACAGAGTGGGGTCATTTACATGATAAGAGCTTTTCTAATGAGCCACAACTAGAGTGGCTGTCAGTAATATTAATTCTCCCACTGACGGGGACAATGGATGATCAAAGAGACACAACGCTTTATACGGATCTGATTCAAAATGAGATACTGAATCTCATTATTTCTTCTCATTTATAATACTTCACTCTCTTTTCTGGTAGTCCCGTCGGAAACAAGTGGGACCACAGAAAATTGGATAGCAAAAGTGAGAATGTGACTAGTTTAGGGTTGTTGTTTTTTTACTTTTTAAGTTCTGACTCAAGTCATACGTACCCTGGGTCTCTCTTTCTGTCTGCCTTTAGTTGAGCCAAAGCAGATTCCAACAGCTGCAATAAGAGACTATAACTTGAAGCTAGAAGAGTGATAAGAATGTCTCTTTCTCAAATGTCCATAATACCGTCGTTATGCCTCTCTTCCTCATCCTCCTCTTCCCCCACAGCTCCCCTCTGCAGAGCCCTGGCAGCTGCATGGTCACTGAGCAACACAACATGCTTCTTCTCCAACGCTGGCTCAGAACAATGTTTTGGGAGTTTAGCTTGGAGCTCCAGAAAGAGCAGCGGTGGGAATAATGGGCCCTGTTAAAAACCGCAGCTGAAGGGTTTCAAGTCAGCCCTCTCTGTCTCTTGGACATCAACTGCTTTCTGCTTTTTATGAGTATCCTCTGTCTTCTTTTTCTCACTCTCTGCTTTTCTATATTACATAATAATGTGGCATGTTTTCCTCCTGCATTCCTTTTCCGGCTCTTATTGGTTTTTTTTTAACACCGGATTTCTCAACAGCTCTCTCATTCCCAAGCTCATAGCCTTTCATACTCGGTTTGAGAAACCACACACTGCACCCGGAAGGACCTCTGACCCCTCAACAGAAGCTCATGGAAATAAGAACTAAGGGCGACACACATGAACATATTCTCACTCTAACCTGGTGCTTCTGCTTCCGTCTTCATCTCCCTCCTCTTCCTCCTCGGTCAGTCTCTGTAAGGAGCAGCTGAGCCAGTTCAGGTGATGTCGCCAAGCCTCCTGAGGCATCTCTGCAAGAACAGATTCAGGTATACAAAATATAAAGTTGCAGCACATAGAAGCACCAAGACAATCTAGGTATGCACAACATTCAAAGCCAGCTATCTAGTCATTGTGAAATAAATAGTTCAACATTATGGAAAATATATTTATTTGCTTCCTTTCTAAGGGTTACTGTATATAAAAAGATGCCACTCTCATATTAGGACAGTAAATATAAAGCTATAATATGTCATATGTTTCATCTTTACAAAAACGCAAGGGTAAAAGTAACAGGATTTGGTTTAATGGTGGGTAATGTAAGGGACTATTTCTTGCCAGTGCATACAAAACTTCTTAGCTGTTGCCTGGCAACTTCAAAGTGGGGACAAGAATCCTCACCACAATTGAGTTTATTTTCACTATTGATGAATTTGTCATTTTTTTAATTCATTGTTTGGTATATAAAATGTCAGAAGAATAGTACAAATGCAGACACAAGCCTTAGAGAATCCAGTTATATATTTTTTTGTCCACTTAAAGGTAGGGTAGGTAAGTTTGAGAAACCGGCTCGAGATACACTTTTTGTTATATTCCATGGAATGCTCTTAACATCCCGATAGCAATGAATATCTTAAGTGCTTTGACAAAAAATCCATAAAAAAATGTCATCTGTGGAAGCCGTAGTACTGTAAAAAGCACGACCAATCATTTTAGCTGGCCCGGCTAAAATAACTGGATGGCCTACCTGCCTGTCAGCCTTCCATCTGTGCACAAACTTATCTCGTGCCCTCATTGGTCATGTGCGCGTTCGTGTGTGTTGGAGGAGGGGCTCTGTAAGGAAGTGGCAGATTTTTTCCGGCTGTGTATTTTCAAATTCTAGCGATCTCGAGCCGGTTTCTCCAAAATTACCTACCCCACCTTTAATAGTAAAACAAAACAAAAGATATGTTCTTTACAATCATATTAAACCAGCAAATATTCACATGGTAGCTGGAACCAGAAATGTTTTTGTAATTTGAAAAAGGTTTTCAGCGCTATTTTACACTTGGGTTTTGTTTGTATTAAACAAATGAGCTGATGAGTGAGCTATGTGCTAGTGGCAGATTAAGTTGACTTTTGACAGAGCCAAACTAGCTGTTTTCTCCTGTTCCCAGGCTTAGTGCCGAGCTAAGCTAAGCAGCTGCTGGCAGTAGCATCTTATTGGTGTACCGACATAAGTGTGGCATCATTCTTCCAATATAACCCTCAGCAAGAGAGCCAATAAGCTAATTTCCCAGAAGATCTAACTATTCTTATGTTACAATGCAGAATGCTTCTAAATGCAAGGCACATTTAGAAAGTGAAGTTATAGCCGTCCAGAGGGTACCACAAGTTACAACTTCCCAAACATCAGGCCCAAGTATTTTCCAAGCAGAACTGAACTACTTGATGTTCCTGTTTTCCAGCTATTATTTTGTTAGTGCTTAAAGGGTCAGAGTGTTTTTTTGTCACAATTGTTCTTTGGAAAATAACTCCCCTACCACAAACCCAATATTGTACCAAAGCCCTGCAGTATGGCTGACACACACTTTACAGAATACTTTAACACTGCCATGTCTTCATTTATAACTTTTTACAGAGGAAGCACAAATCATGATAAAACTCAAAATGGCTACTTTTCATAGTACCGTTTAGGTTAAGGTTCTAGTAACACACACACACACACACACACACACACACACACACACACACACACACACACACACACACACACACACACACACACACACACACACACACACACACACACACACACACACACACACACACACACACACACACACACACACACACACACACACACACACACACACACACACACACACACACACACACACACACACACACACACACACACACACACACACACACACACACACACACACACACACACACACACACACACACACAGGGTAATAATTAACTCTGAGTTCTGGCTGGGCTCCAGTGTGTCCCTAAATGGCTCCATTCATGTAAATCATTCCTGCCTACAGGCCAGCCTGGGCACACACTGATAAGCGCTGCTCCCCTGTGCGCCTACACTCACCTACTCAGCGTCCATTAACAGTAGATATTCCCATAGATAAACACTGGTGTTACATTTTCAGTTTAGATCAAATATATTCATCTTAATAAAGAATAATAATAAGATGCATTATTGTGTTTGTGTTAGAAAATGTATGATTTTAGTTATAAAAGTCAAATGTAGCTTGTACAAAACAGGCAACTCAATACACTTCTGCATTTATTTAATATGATAACCAACACTGAGTATAACTACTGTTCCACATTATGTCTTATAACTTTTATATTTAACATAAAACACTCAGTGTGGTTAACTAACTTTAATTGATTCACACACAAGAGCCCATTCACTCTGCAGCAGGAAAACTCTGTTGACCCACAGTTAAATAATACCTGATAGACTTTCTTCTATCAATACAGGGTTTTGTGCATTGTGTAAGAGTTAAATATCCAGATACCTACACATACAGCCACACACGCATACGTGGATGAGTGTGTGTGCACACACTGACCTGACGGCCGGGTCCAAAGAGGAATCAGCTGACTCTGAGGTGACTGTGGGAACAAGGCCTTCAAAGAACCACTCGTCTGAACAAACACAAAGCACACATTTTCCTGAGCTTCATAAATGTAAATCATGTTTACCTTGAACACATACACCAGTGCTCTGAAAGCCTGAGAAATGACATTTTGAATGGTAGTCTGTGTAACAGTGATACAGTAGGTGCTAATGTGTAATGTAGCGTGTAATAGGGAGCGTTTAGTGCAGTGTGACTTCAGCCATTAACTTCAAATCCACTGCGTATACACTGTAGCACTGCCATCTGCTGGTTTATAGAGGTGAAAAGGAGATCAACTATATCCACAGAACTGTTAATTAGTTAATACATCATACCTACGTTGTAACACGTATGTTTTCCGTCCTATTGACAGTAATGACTGACATGTCAGAGCCTGAAAATTCCCCACAGGCACACAGGATGTGTGGATGGAGGTTCCCTGCACAGACTCACGTGTATGTGAGAGAATCTGTGGTGCCTGAGAGTTGATGCAAAAGTTGAAATGTACGTAGTGACACATTAGTGCTACAGCTCACAGTGGTTTCAACATGTCACAGGTGTTTTATCTGTGCAAAGTTAATACCCGCAAATTGATGCTCTAGAAGCTTTTTTTATTTATTATCATCGAGACAGAAGTGTGAACTGTGGTGTTTGTGTAGTGTGAGTAGCGAGCTCCCAGCTGGAGATGAAGTGATAATGATGTGGAAGATTTATCAAATGTTAAGTGATTTTGCCTGCATGGGGAGTTCCTTGTTTATAGCATAGTAGTGTTTTTGTACTCCCAGCTAAGATGGTAAATACGAATAAATAGACAGCTTTGTAAAGTTGAAAGTTTGCTACAGTAGATGCAGTCATATATGAAGTAATAAAGAGGAACATGTTGTAATTCCTTGGTCATCAAATTTAGCGGCATTTTTATTAAAACAATGTCTGCTCTTGTAACCACAGTTGGCTTCATGATTTTGGATTTCAATCTAATTGTTAGAATTGAAATTGTCCAAATAAATATTTAAGTCTGACTTTCACATATTTTGCAGGAAACTTGAGGAATACCTTATGCTGCAGTAGAGCCCGTTCCCTGAAGAAACAGCTGGAAAAGGTTTGGATGAGATACTTGACGGACTCATTCCCTTCAGCTTGCTTAAGGAAGGATCTGTCGGACACACACGCCATTATTGGGAATGCCACTGCAGTACGTCAACAAACATTCAGAAATACACACTTTATCAGGCCAGAACATGATACTAAAAGCCTTTAACACTTAGCACACATACAGTAGCCTCAAAATGACACACCAACTCTCACCTGAAGATGTCGTTCACAACCAGAAATATGGAGCAGTGTTGAGCACAGGCTTTAGGCTGAAACACACAAAAAACTCAATTTAAAAAATGTTGTAGAATTTGCTGCAATTTTCTTTGTGTTGCTTCAAAGATATTTAAATGTTATGTTGACAGTACAAAAGTATAGAAAAAAGTTGATGATAACCACATGATAATCTATTTCACTAATCCATTCTATTAATTTAAAGGTCCCATGTCATGCTTTTCCGGTTATTACCCGTCCCCTTGTGTGTTATGTAGCTTTTTATGCATGTAAACGGTCTGGAGAGTCAAAGACCCTCAAAGTACACCCTGTAGCGAGTAAAACTCTAACACAGAAAAGACCTGTCTATGCTGCCCCAAAACGCCTCTTTGGAGATTTTTCTTTTTCCATTTGTTTCTTCCGGGAACCTCGTGACGTAACGAGTACCCCATGGACCAATTGGTCCAAATGGACCAATCCGCGGAGCCGTTACGTTACGTCCGCGGAGCTGTTACGTTAAGTCCAAATGGACCAATCCGCAGACTTCCTCACACACACACACTCAATCTTTTCTCAGCTGCAGCCCCGCGGATTTCTCAGCCTGAGACGGCGGGACACGGCGAGGCTGTGAGTCTGTGTGTAAGCACACACACAGACTCACAGCCAGGCTGCGGGTGTGTGTGTGTGTGTTCGGGCTGGTTTCGGGCTGGGTTTCGCTGTGTCTCGCTGTCTCGCCGACCCGGAAACCACACCAGTAAGCCAGCTCACACTGTCCGCTCCTCGCAGCAGCAAGCCTCGCAACGTCCCGCCAACACGGCACCCAGACCCCACGCAGCATTCTCATCTGTTTGTCATTACTGGTGTCATTTTCTGGTTGCTAACAAACGCCATTGTAACACATAATCACTGATGTTCCGCTGTAACGGTGGTGGACTCATCAGAACAGAGTGGGCGAGCTGACCAATCAGAGCACAGTGGGCTCATAGGGAGGGGGGGGCAGGAGCTCCAACAAGCCGTGTAGGACAGAGAGTGAATACACATACTATACAGAGATGCTGTATGAGAAACCAATGTGAGTTTGGAAAATTGCACAATATAAATCTATTCTAGTATACCTCAACAATGGAATTATGATCAGTAGAAATGGCCATGACATGGGACCTTTAACCAAATTGCAATATTAACTTACGATATATGACCACTGGATGTCACTGTTGCATCATCTATACACCCCCATTGAGCCACTGTTCCCCCTTGTTCTCACTCTCTCCTCATTAACCACTCAGTTCTTCCTTCACACACCCACACACTCACTCTCTCATCTCTGCCTAATGCACATTCATCATGTGTTTTAGATTTAACACATTCTAAAACGCCCCAGTGCAAACATTTAATAGCTGTACTCTCCACGTCAGCCTCTCTCTACACGTTTATATTAGTTGTAGTCCCCAATTAGTCTCACTTTCTCCCTGAACACTCCTATAAGGATATATTCTTCATCATAAGAGCAGCATATGTAGTTAAAGAGCACCACAATCATACATGTATATGTTTTCTATTTGTTTGAATCACATACAGCACATTTTAAACCTGCCATCTGTGTCATCAGTTAATAATGGAGTACAGCGTCTATTAAATGATAAATGGACTGTACTTAAATGGATTTACTTATCCAGTCTTTACGAGTCACCATTCACCCTTTCACACCTCATTCACACACAGCAGTGCCACTTGCTCTAGGAAGCTAACATTCACTCGCATTCATACACAGTTGGCCATGCCATTGGGAACAACTCATGGTTAAGTAGCTTGCCCAAGGACACATCGACATATTGACTGCATTGGCTTAGATCGAACCAACAACCTTCTGGTTGAAAGATCACCGCAGCCACAGTTGCCCACTATTAAAAAGCATTCAGTACATCAAAGCCGAAAATGACCATAAAACCCGTTTCTGTAAAGAGGCGTTTAAGATTTGTTTCCTCCTCCTGTCAAGGCACACATGTACCTCCAAATGTAATGAAAAGGGCCAGGGTAACAGACCAGAGACTAAGTGAGGTCAATCAGTACGAACAGCCCCACCCAGTGTTTATATGGCGTCATTACAATAATCCAACACTAATCAAGTGCTTTCATCCTCAATTGTGCCATGTCTGTTTCTTTGTTGTCTTTGCACAGCATCAATCAAACAAAACGTGCCGTGCATGTTACTGTTTAGTTTGGAATCCGCAATACGTTGGCCTGCGTTTTATGTGTGTCAGTGTGATCCTGCGTATGTGGCTTTCATGCCAGCATGCATGCGTGTGTGCAGACTGCCATAGTTGCCCCTACTGAAAACAGATGGGTTTTCTGAGCATCCTCCTCCATAACTTACCACTAATATTTCAAGGGGGGTCAATTACAGCACACAACAAACATCTTCGTTGGCAGGAAGGCCCAGGATGTGAGTGTTTATTGTTATTGGGTCTGTGTCTCTCATTAGATCACAGAGCGGTGGGACCAGCCAAAATGAGGAATGTGAGCATAATTTCATGTTTCCCATTTTTGATTGCAGTTTAAACAAGTGAGTGAAAGGGAGAAGAGAGGAGACACAAGGCAGTCAGCTCGTACGCCTCTCACTTTTTGTGTGGCTCTTGCACACATGCACACCAACAGAGACAGACAGGCCTCTGATCCAAACAACCTGAAGGCTAAGTGAAACCTAAACGTATGCCTCCCACCCTCTTTACGCCTGACACGCTATACCAGATGCAATATCATAAACAGAGCATGGCGGCTGGAGGCATGAGAGTGTATGTTTATATGTGTGTCAGGGCTCGCATGCACACATGTGCGTGTGAACTAGCAAGGTGATAAAAACAGAGGTGGATCAGAGATGGATGAGAGGGTAAACAAATAGTTCCATCGCAGGACAGAGAAGTAAACAGCCAACATGTCTGTCACACACACACACACACACACACACACACACACACACACACACACACACACACACACACACACACACACACACACACACACACACACACACACACACACACACACACACACACACACACACACACACACACACACACACACACACACACACACACACACACACACACACACACACACACACACACACACAAACACATCACACACACACACACACACACCACACCACACTCACACACACACCACTACCACACACACCACACACCCCCACACCACACAACTACACACCACAACACAACACACACCACACACACGCACCACACCACACACACCACACACCACACACCACACTTCACTTTTTTATACAGAAACCATCTCTCTCTTATACTGACTCTTCAATTGACATGCAGGCATATTCCTGTACATTTGTGTGTTAGGCAGTTCATACAAAACATGTACACCAATGTGTTCCAATCTATCCTAACTTTTGTTGGATAGTCTTCTTAAACTGAAAACGTTTGTGCATTCTAGCCTGATATATATACACAGCTCAAGTGACCATCACTCGGGGAAACACAGGAGTGACACAACTTACAATTTTGCCTAAGTTAACATGAGGCAATAGACAGGTAAGTTCTTGTTTTGTTGATGTTTTTAAAACTCCCAAAAGGCACAGGCAATCAGTAACCTAGGTAAATAGGACTCCATTCATAACTGTACGCACAAGGTATTGTATTTCTTGGCACAGATGTTTGGCATAAACAATTTGTAGGAAACATGTCCAAATAGATTACCCTCCTACCCTCCACTCCATTTGTACATCTTGCCCACCAGGTGAATAATTACTTTATAGATAGGTCTAGATTTTAAAGTGTTTTGTCTGAGGTTTATGGAATTGTGTAGTTTTAGTGACACATGTAATCATTTAATTGTCATCCTTGCTTCTCAGACTGGCTGCATAATATGTCTGTGCGATTATATGTCTATGAGCATGTTCCAAATTATTATGGGATAAAAAGCAGCCACTGGAGGCCAAGTTAAAAGAACACAAAACACTGCTGGTATTTTCTGATTGCATTGTAGTAATGAGGACATTATCTTGAACAACACCATAACAACCTATAAATGAGAAATGACTTGTTACTTTTGAACAAGGCATGGTTTTAAGTAATATAAAGTGAGTAGGCCAAGGTCTCAAGTGACAGAGAGTTCAGTAAAGCTGCGTAGCCCAGGCCAAATTATGTGATATGCCGTTTAGAGCTAGCCAAATGATGTGAGATTCATGCAGAGCTTAGCCAAATGGCATGAGTTAGCCAGGCAAAAACAGTCAATAAAGATCCACCGGAAAAAAACAATGGAACGCTTCCAAGAACTATGCATACAAAAACATTACAAATGCCATACCTCAAAATAAATGAGCAGGCCTTATATTCAAGCTATTTGGTTTCACAGTTTACAGAGCAGTTCAATATGGAGCTAAAAACACATGGAGTGTGGAATGATTTCTGATGTGAGACTCTGTAATTCAGGGCAGATGAGTCAAACTATGTAAATAACAAACCCATTTAACAACAGCAATATGTCACCAATGTACGAACAATGCCGCTAATTCATGCAGCAGAAAATGCCACAGCACAATGACATAATAATCTACACATTTCTCTCCAACTCTAACTGTGAAGATCAAACTAGAACATCATTGGTTACTCGACAGCAGTATCACAAGTTGATGGTATGCTTAAGAAGCACTCTCACGATCAAATAACAATTCCAGGTCCACAAAAACTTTTCAGTATACTTTGGTCTTTTGCCTGGTTCTCAAAAACCAACTCCTTCCCACAACGATATTGGAGGAAAAAAAGGTCAAAAATATACTTTAAATCTTGGGTTCCACTACACACTTACCTAGAAATCACTTGTAAAAACCAGATTTGAAAAAGAATCGGACATTTCACCTATTTCATCCACCATTGTCATGATAAGTGGGAGACTATTCATAAAATGTATTCATCAGTATTTTTCCACCCCAGCAAAAATGTCTAACAATAACAAAGACCCAGTTTCTCAAAAGAGAAATTCACTCTCATGTCTTTTTCATTTCATTGCAAACTGAATACCTTTTGCTTATGGACTGTTGAACAAAACAAGCAATTTCAAGATGTCGCCTCATGCTCTGGTAAAGCACGATGCAGCAATATCTGACACCGTTTGGCCATTTATACTCTAAATGAGAAAATCAGCAGATTTATTCATTAGAAAAACAATTGTAGCCCTAAACAAAATTAGTATCATAATTGAAACATGTTTTGTGCAAATCAGATCACATCTATCGCAGAAACGCATGCCTTTATGGTTTTTAAGTTAGGATTTTGAGTCCTCATAACAAAAGAAGTACCCACCAGCAAGGACTGTGCCAGTTGCCGCTTCAGCTCCTGTGGTGTGTACCCTGTGTCGGGGAGAACACACTCCAGCAAACTGAGCACTGCCTCCTCCAGACTGGACAGGCTATGATACCACAGAGAGACTACTTCCTGCTCCTCCAATAACACGCATTTTCTGAAAGAAAACAGCACCTAATTATATAACATCTGAAATATTCCAAAAAGGATTAATCTAATACAGTAAATCAATAGTAAAACTTATTGAAAACATATTTTACAGCAGGAACTCCCTACCTGGAGTAGGCAGAGGTCAGAGCGTCCAGGAAGTCTTGACTGAGTGCTGCCCTGACACAAGTTGCTGGCTGCTGCAACAGAGCTCTGATGAGAGGAGCCGCCTCGGGGAGAGAGATCAGGGGGACACAAGCCTCTGACGCTGCCAGAAGGTTGTCACACGAACACCTGCATCGAGACAAAATCTGCATTATCTGAAATTCTAATCAATGACCTGCAAAGAAAAAGTGTCATATCATCTCAAGATTCAAGGCTTTTATTGTCATTTGTACATAGCTACAGTGTAGTTATGTCGATGAAAATCTTAGGTCACAGGCTCCTCCAACAGTGCAAAATAATAAAACATATAAAATAGTGCAAGTAAATACAAATCTTATTATGTTAAGATTTTACTTTAATTCTGACAAATTGCATACCACTCTGCATGCCAGCAATAACGTAAGTGGGGAAGACTTTTTCATCAGCGACTAGTTTTATAATGTGGATATTTTTCATAAAGAAGTCCCTAAAACGTGTCTGCTTGGTAAATGTAAGGATTCACTTCTTTCTGATTTTGTCTGTAGGACAGCCAAACAAGATATGTGAACACTTTAAAATGGGCTGTTGAAAACATGATAATTTCCCCCCCACTATTTCTTGATTTTTATAGACCGAAAAATGATTCAAGAAAGGAATCAGCAGATTAATCAACTAGGAAAATAACTGTTACAGCTCTGGTTACTTCTGTGTTATACCTGTGATTAATGTCGACCAAAGAACTGCAGCTCTTCCCAATGTTTTCCTGCAGCATTGCCACCATCTGAAATGAAGGAATTAGTACTGCTTTAATAACATACATAAAGTATCAACAAAGGCACAAATAAGCCAATAAAAATAAAGGCAAATACCTTCCTAAGTACTTTGACATGGTACTCTTTAGGTGGTACACCCGTTCGCTTCATTAATGCCTGCGCTGCAGCATCGTCTTCTTCTGTGGCGAGCTGACACAGCACCTTCTGCGGAAAGTCGGGCAACATAATGTGTAGCTGATTATTTGTACTTTATGTGTATATCTATAACATTAGACAAGACTTTAATACAATCTGCACAAACCCCAAGACCCTTGACATCAAAGCTAATTAGTTACTGTAAAATAGGATGACTCTGGTGGCGTCACATCATTTGAACCACATGAGTGGAGAAAAGGCATCCCAGTAAGTGAGAATGTATGGACAGCATATGAGCAGCTTCAGAAATGAGCATTCTTTGTTACAGAGGGCCTTGGTGTTTTACAAGCATTTTTCAGAAGGGGCCTCATCATACACTGATAAAACTAGACTAATAAACTCCCCTGATTCTCGTCTGTGAAGAAAAAGCTAATCATAACTAGAAAATGCATTTCCTGCAGAAAATGCGTGCGAATGCTGTAAACTGTGAACATTTGTTGCTGAATTTAGCAGAAAATGCAGAAAAAGCTGAATATGTTATTAGCTGAATGGTCTCTGTAGCTGCTTTTAGCTACAGAAACCAAGTAAGTGTGTTGCTGAACTGAGCGGAGAAATGCAGAAAAGTGAAATGATTTGAATCAAAATTGTTAAAGCTCAAATGCATTGCAATGACTTTGTTGAAAACTTGAAAGTGAAATGTTAAACTGGAAGAGTAGGAAAAATAGTGAAGAAGCTTAATATTTAAAAGAAAAGGTTTAAAAAAGGTATAAACAACTAAATGTATAGCCTCAATGTCCTGAAATAGCTGAATAATGTAATAGTCAGGGGTGCACATAACTTTCTCAGTGAGGTACTCAGATGAGTACCAGGAGTCAGTGTTTGGTACTCCAACTACTGGCCCCACGTAAAGTTATGTGATGAAGCCCTCTGTGTCGCGAACGCCGCCGCCGACGGGGGGTGCTGAGCGTGCAGAATGTGCACAGGGGAGTCTCCCTCCACAGCCGGTTGGTGTAATTTTGGCACAATTCCATTGTACAGACCGACGTTAACAGCAGCCCCGTCTGTGCACACGGAGACCGACTCTGTCGGCCAGTGATCTAAGCGCCTTCTGGAAAAGCTTCACAAGTACGTCGCTACGCAAAGGAGCTTAGTGACACAAGTGACGGTACGCATTTCAGATTTTTGCCGTACCTGCGTACCAGTTATGTGCACCCCTGGTAATAGTTGAATGGTTTCTGTAGCTGAAAGTAGGCTGAAGGAGTTAGATATTAAATGTAAGTAGTAGTGAATTACTGTGTATTAAGAAGAGAAAAGAAAGTAAAAACACTTTGAAAAGCAGCAGAATATTTTAACTGCAAACGTTTGAACTAAAACCATACGTCACCAATAATGTATAAAATATGTGGAACATGTTGAAGTCAGTATGAAGTCTCCATCAGAGAGAAAATAATAGGCTGAGACAGTCTGTGGGTGTTTCTCAATCGCGAGTGCGCTTGCTTGGTAGCACATGTCTGCCGAGCATCTTGCTTCAGAATCGAGTCAAGAATACTTCCTGGCATTCGGAAAACGAAGAGTGGAACACGCTAGCAAGTGTGCAGGTGTGCGTCATATGAGAGGCCCGCCTTACATCTTCCGCCACAGATTTGGGGAAATTGGTCTGTGCGCAAAGTATTGTGGCGATTTTAAGACCGCGGAGTCTACTCATGTGCAGCCTCGATATTTCTCCAAACGGAGTACGCCGGGCTCGGTAGAGTTCCAAGTATGCTGGAGATTGGAACAGTACTTCGGCGGCACTCGATGACGTAGTATGCTTGAAATAGTGGCTCTGAAGCAGCTTTACTCGAGATTGAGAAACACCCATTGTGTTTGTGTTTGAGGTGACGACGTTATCAAACACCTGTGTGTAAGCCCAGAGATCAAAGGTTACCATGGTGACGACGTTATCAAACACCTGTGTGCAGAGATCAAAGGTTACCATGGAGATGTGCAGTGAAAGGAGAGCCTTTCCATTGATCTGAATGAGAGATAAACCTCTTACATTTCTAACTATAGTTTAAAAACGATAGCTGATATCAGTAAAATGTCAACGTGTGCAGCATGTCAGGACCCTGAGGAGCGTCTGAGTCTGCTTTTTGTGTACTTTCGGGTCAATAATGTAGCATTTTTGGCAGATTTACTAAAGGTGTGCAGCTGCTGCTCTGACGAAAGATCAGGCTGAATTTACAATGGGCCTTAATTGAGACATATTGAAAGGTTTTGTCACTTCATGCCCTCAAGAGGCATTTTGTTTAATTTTTTGCTTAATTTTATTTTATTTTTCAACATAGGAGAGGTTTTCCTACAATTCAAGCATACAATTATGTCCAATGAGTGTAGGGTTTGGGAGTTATGGCAAGTTAAAAACTTTTTGTTAGGCGAATCTCAAGTTTTGAGATCAAAGCACTCTAGACTCAACGAGCTGCGCAATACACACTAATCTAAAGAAGGCCTCTTTACCAAGCTCCAAACTAAGTTAAATATCTCAAAAAGTGTAAAAGATATTAAAAATCTGAATAAGATTGTAATAGCTGAAGGTCTTGTGATCATTTTAAAGTTGGAATTAAGTCTCTAGCTGAAAGTATGTGGAAGGAGTAGCATTTGGCGCACGGTGTAGGTAAAAGAGGATTTGAAGGTTCCTCCCATTGAGTTACATGTTAAAAAAAGAGTTTAAAAAGCTGAATATTTCAAAAAGTATAAAATATTTGGAAAAAGTTGAAAGTTTCCCATCATGTACTGTTACAAGTTGGAAAGTGTGATCCAACAGAAACAGCCAAGGCCTCACATCTTCAGCACGCATCTGTTTTTACAACTCAAATGAACCGAAAACAGCAACAACCTCACCGCAAAGAGTAGACTAAAAAAGTACAAATCCTTTTGGACTGCAGATGAAAGACTATCAACGCAGGATGAGGAAAGACACATTGAGAAAGGCACAATATGTAAAAAAGGAAAAATAAGTGAAGTATAAAAAACGAAGGAGCACTGGAGCGCTGCTGGTGGAGCTGTGTGGTTTACTTGGCTGGGCTCTACAGCACGCTAAGATGCTTACCCTCCACATAGTCTCACAAAACAACCCCAATCACTACCATCTGAGCGCCCTCAAACTGCACATTGAGTACATACTGTACAAAACTAATCACACTTATCCCACAGTGGGTAAGAGAGGCACAGTGGGGCTGGGGGATAACAGAGGGAGGAAGGCTGGTGAGAAGGAATGGCAGAGAGGGACGGGAATGGCTACATTAAGAGCGGGAATAAAGGGTGTGGTCACCTGAGGATTGAATGAAGGGCAAATGTAATAGAAGGCACATACTTTAGGACAAAAGTCATCTCTCTTTCACAAAGCAACCAAGCTCGCTTTGGGGGCCTGGACATGTTGCTGCCATAGAAATTATCCCTCCATAAATCTAAAATTATAACTGAGGGTGTGGAAAAATGCACCAGGCAAAGAGTTGGGTTGGTTTTGATGGTTGCCTGTTAACAATTACTAAAGCCATGACTGAATTCTCCCAAAACCAATGTCTTAAGTATAGCCTCAGAGGGTCAGCAGAGACAAAATAGATTATTATATAAAATAATACAGAAAGCCAGGATTAGTCAAAAATAATGAATTTATAAGCAAATGTGCTCAAACTTAGTGCAGTGACAGAATGCATTAAAGAATAGAATTTTAAGAATGTTAAGTTATATTAAAGATCAATCTATCATCTTCTGACCACAGGAATATAAGGTATTTCAATATACATAAATAGATGGAGTTAACAAATGGAAAAATGGTTTTAAGTTCTACTACAAGTTCTCAGTGTTAATCGGCTTTTCCAATTCTGTGTACGTTAAAATGGGAACGAATCAATGGAATAAATTAACTAACTGTTCCGTACGGTTAGTGTATTTGTATCCACTCAAATTGATATCAAGACTCACAGGACAATGCTTAAAGTTTTTGGCAGCTAAGGAATATGAATAGCAGCTAACTCCACTCCACTGTATAACCACAGATTGACATTTTTATATTTCCCATGTAACTAATCAAACTGACTTAACAAAGACAATTAGAAATAAGAATATTTCACAAACTACTCCAAGTAAAAGAAAGAAACATAAAGGAAGAAATATAAATACTAATTCCAGGGAGTCAGATTTAAAAAAAGGATGCCACCCAAGAGAACAGAAAGATAAAGATGAAACATTATTTTCACAGACGTGTGAGCAGAGAGTTCAAAATGTGTTTTCAAACCATAAAGCTGCCACAGTAGCTCGAGGGCCAACCTGTGGTTCACCCTGTTTGAGTCATTCAAAATTAAGCTATCAAACCCATCCGTCCTCCAGGCCTCTAATATTACACTCTCATGCTTGACTTATCTGTCATCTCCCTCAAAGATCATGCCATGTTACTGCAGCACTGTGTGGTCCCCCTGCTAGGACAGGATGGAGCGAAAAGCAGTGATTGAATTAATGACTATCTAACATGGCCTGCAGCTATGTGGCTGTACCCAGCATCATCAAAACCGGTGAGAACACTTAGATGTGGAGAGGAGAGGCAGACAGGAGGGGGTAAGGGGAAGATGTCAGGGCGAGGGCAAAATACTCTCATAATTTAAGGAGAAAAATACATGTGGCCACTAACTGTATATACAGTAGCAGTGAAACACATGTTTTTGCACATATGCGAGCACATGCAGAAACGTACATAAACACAGTATTTAGGTGCCACTTAGCACCAGACCCTCAGTCTATATAGAGGAAGCAAGAAAACAATGTTGGGTAGCAAGATCAGACAGGGCTAACAGAAAACAGGCTGAAATCTGCGATGTAGGAGAGGCAGTTCAACACAACACAGACTCAGACGGAGACTCAGACAGAGAGACAGACCATCTCTGGCCTCAAACCATACATCTGCACTGCTCCCCCAGATGGGATGAGCCGTGGTGAATAGGTTGTTTTGTTTTTGTTTCCCGGCACTCTTGTCTTGGAGTGGAAGCTTATTAGGAGAATAAGAGAAGGAGAATTAGGAGAAGCTACAGAGTTGGTAATGAGTTCATTGTATTTGTGCCCTTTGATCACTTTCATCCTGTAATGTAAGTTTGAGTAGAGTGGACCCTGGGAACCCTTTAACTCTGACCGTCAGTGGTGTACCACAGACATAAAGCTACAATAACTAAGTCTATACAATGTTTAAATTACTTTTGAACACAAGCAGTTTTAAATGTTCATTGATGAATGCGATAACTATTTGAGAAGGAGTCTGTAGATAGGAAAACACTTTCACAGAGTTTGTCTCAGTCATTGGCCTATATTAATGTTTCTCCTGCTATTTGAGAAATCAATGCACAACATACTAATGTATTAATGCACAAAACCAAACCTAAACGTTCGCGGCCTGGAATCCTTTAATACCGTGATTTCCCCCTTGTATCAGTAATGGCTCTATATGCAATGATGAAGTAATTCATAAAAAGATTGAAGGTACACCAACATAAAAGCCAGGATATAACCCTAAATGTTTTCCTTGATTTGAAGGAAAAAATATATCAATGTCCTAATAATGCAAAATGCAATACACCATCACACTTACACATATGCACAATTATAAAGAGCAATATGCCCATAAAAAACACTTAATATTGACACAAAAACAACCATGCACATATGCACTCCACTTCCCCTCTCACAGGTCAAAGACCATCTGGCAAATTCAAGGTTTACTTTCAAGGCACTGCTTTAATTAGCAAGCTGTTTTATTGGATGAGAAATTAATCAAAAGAATACAAACACTGGCAAAAATGTGATGGTTCAACGCTGTTTATCATACGCCATCTGTTTGAACCTTCTCAGAGTTTAAAATTGCAGAATCTTTTTTTCCCTCTGTTCTCTCTCCCTACTTTGTGTGTTTGCGCCATGAAAACACAGTGAGCAGGATCAACTAACATAATATAAAAGCCGATCTCTCTATGGTGACAAGAGGCAGTGAAACAGTAAATTCTTTGCTTTCAAAAAGATTTTTATAGGTTCTGGGCACAAGACTAACAAATACTCAATCTAACTCATCATCATCTATGTCCCACTGCAGAGGAGACACAGAGGGCCGGGCGAAATAGAGCTTGTATTTAAAGTAAATTAGATCAAACATTTCTTCAGCAGCGCAAAGGAATTCAAAGACAGACTCTTTATAGTTTGTTGGAGTATTTGTTAAAGGGATGATAATAACTCTGTATGTCGAGTCTGTCAAGTACTAATCAGGACATATAGAGCAAAACAGATCAGGCATGAGAAAAGGATGGAAGATTGGAGAATATACTATAACAACTAAATAGTGTTATGATCGGACTGAACAGTCGATTAAATATTCTAAATATTTCCGTGTTTTCCTCTCCTATTCAAGCTTCACCATGAGAGTTTATGTTGTCTTCAGTCTCTGTGTACCCCCACCAGGTGGGTACATATGACCTAAACAAATCACAGCACGGATACATGCCTTTATCATAATTGACTGTAATACAGCTCAGCTATATAGGGCTTGGCAATAATTCAATATGATGATATAGCAACGTTCAATTAAATTGCATCACTATGAAATCAACCGTAACTGTACTTACATATTAAAACATGCTCACATTGTATATCTTATTAACTTCAGTACACTATTAACAGTACACAGATAGAGAAAAAGGACTCCATACCCGTATCCACTGATTTGCTTTTGTTTCCACAGCATCGCCTGGATGCTCCGAGTACAGTCCCCACAGACACTGAAACAACAGCCATCTCCCCGGAGCTGCAAACAGGAAGACACCATGGACGCTAGATCTCTAGTTCTATATAAGACCCTTTACACAGATTACAAGCATTACAGTGACTCATGCTAGTAAACAGACTATCATAAGTCCGCATTCCCAAATACAGAGGGAGTTACAGTTGCTCTCACCATCAGCAGTCACACAAGGGTTCCAGCAGAGTCGGCCAAGGAACTGGCCCAGGAGAGGCAGCCTCTTCATGGTCTCTGATGTGGAGCTCTGAGGGACACACAGAGACAACCACAGGCATGGGGATAATGAATGTAATGGTTCACATGTTCTTCATCTTGAATACTCTTATACCTTTGAGGCGCCTAGCTTCCACTAATAACTTAAGTAGGTTAGTTCTCTCTGAGTGGAAGGCACATACAGTAATGGGTTTTCTTTAATCTGGTGCATAATCAGACTCAACAAAGTGAAACTAATCCAAAAAGATTAAAATGACTTTATTGTTTCACTGTATTATAGGAGTTTGCAACACCTCACCTGTTACTTCCTCCTAGTTTATGCTTCCCACCTAGCAACCTTGTGCCACAACAACAAACATTAAAGATCACAGTTCTACTTAATGGCTGAGGAAATTGAATTGAAAAACAGGCACATCCGCAGGTGCAAAGGACATTACTCATGCATCAGCTTTGTTTCCCGTATGTTGGTACATTTGGTCATTACAACTATAGTTTGAATAGGGGCTTTAGTGGGGCTCTGGTTCAGAGGGTGCTATACCTGTGACAGTTTAAGTATTTGTGTGTCTGTGCTTGTTTATGCCGCTCAAACAACAGGCGATGGGATTTATTTCACCTCACAGCCAGTTAAATCATAAAGGTTTTAAGCATTTAAGGTTTTTAAGCCAGGGCCACACTGTATCTAAGAACTTGAATAGCCCTTAATCCTGACTTCTACACATTTGATTTGGGACAATATTAGATTACACTAGATTATACTTAAAGGGGACCTATCATGCAAAATGCACTTTTGTACGTCTGTTACACATGAATATGTGTCCCCGGTGTGTCAGGGAACTCACCAAGTGTCAGAAAACACAACCCTCTCTCTTTTCCTCCATACCCAAATCTCTAAAAACGGGGCTGCAACGGAGCTGATACAGATTTGAATTTTTCTGACGTCAGAAAAGGGGTGCTCCGCCTATATGGGCAACTCTCCACCTATCAGGGGAATGAGAGACCACTCGAAAGCGCTGGAGACGCTGTAGTACATATGCCAGGCCTGTAAGTGGCGCTATAGTCTTCCACAAAAGCAGCGAAGAAGACTCTATATAATAATATAAGAATAATACACGGAGGACGGAGCCTCTCTTTTCCTCCCCCTCTTCTGAGAGCCCAGCAGCTGATCTCAGAGCACGCTCCCCTCTCCTGCAGGGGGGCGTGGTCAGCTGCAGCTCATTTGCATTAAAGCTACGTCACAGAATCAGCCCTTGCAAAAACAGGGCTGAAAAAGAGCAAATAGAGCGAAATGAGGCATGGCTAAAATGCATGATCTGTTTGGTATTTTGAAAAAGAAACTTCACAGACATGTTTTATATAGGTATGGCCCTACAATATATTTTTCAAATATAGCATGATAGGTCCACTTTAAGGTTTGGAAATGTCCAATTATGTTAGGGACACTTATCAGCTCCAACTGATGAAAAAAAGAAGACTTGGTGCACAGTAACTTGAGTGTGACTGGATACCAAAAACAGCACAAACAAGGACCATGTGAAAAACAAGACTGCAGCTGGTTGTTTTTAGATATTTAAAACCAGATTCAAACAGAAGGTGATTACTAACACTTGTTTTCAACCCAGTTTTTACCACTGGGTTTAAAGACATTTCCCTATATTTAGTAGAGCTAAAATAATTTGGTGTCTATTAAGGATGGGAACGATTAATCGAATATTCAAAATGATTCAGGTTTTCGAATATGAGAATATGAGTTATGAATATTTTTATTGTAATTTTCTTTTTCTTTTCTTTTTTGGGAGGAGTGCCTAAGTTGATTACATATGATCAAATGGAATCATTCAATGTATACGACAGTGCCATAGCTAAGTGTGTTAGGTCTAAAGGTGTGTTTTGCTCCACTCACCGGTCCCTCACAGCGGGCAGAGCTGTGCCGATCTCTCTCTCGCGTCCGGTTATACTTCACTCGCGTTTATGTCCAAATCCATCAGATCTAGCTCTAGCTAATGATATGGCTGCTGCCCCTCCCTACACGCAGATCACGCAGACTCAACCCTCATCTTATGCCCAAATTCCAGCTGAGAGGGTCTTCTCTACAGCTGGCCTGATTGTGAATTGTCTCCGCACCCGCCTCTCCCCTGAGTAGACATGCTCATATTCTTAAACAAGAATGAGTATTGAATAGCTGCATTCTGTGCATAGGCCCTGTTATAGGTTGTTGATCTCTGTTGTAATAGGGTGACGTTACCCTAACCTGTTATGTTGTTCGTGTATGATCCCTCTTTAATTTAAAAACCAAGTTATGTTTTAAGCATGAAAGCTGTAGGCCTATAGCTGTCAACTGTTCAAACTGTGATCATCAGTTCAATACATTTAACAAATTCGACTTACATGTATTTATTATTATTATTATTTGGCAACATTTTTCCCACATTTTTTTTTTTTTATAGGATATGTACATTTCGGTTAACCGTTTTTTTGGGGGTCGAATATTCGAATATGCATTTGCTTTCAAATTCCCATCCTGTCTATAGTTTAAAATGGAAAATGTAGCATATTTGTCCAATATTATACAACTTTTTTTGTAATCTCCAGGGAACAACACAAAAACATAAAGTAAAGCTTTGGAGACTGAAACAAGTGCCTTCAGTCTGAAAGTGGACTTTTAAAAATGTTTTAAAAACTGAATAATAGTTCCAATCCACAGGTGTACCACAGCACTGCTGTTACTTTTCTTGGTTCGTAACAAGGGGTTGGACACATCTTCCTTACAATATGATGACTACAGTGGAATATATGTATATAGAGTAGATGAAAGGGGTGACGACGTATTACTTACATTTACAAGCATTTCTGCACGTGTGCAAGAATCATGCTTATGTGACATTACCAAATTAGTTGGTATTCAATCCCATATTTAAGTAGTATATCATACATTTCACCTTTGAGCCAATTAAACTATAGAGAAAAGCTTTGATGCAGAAGAAGGCCACACTAAGACATTTATCATGAGCCAGTTGAAATTAAAGCAGTGTGCTGTGGCTCAACCAAAGATGATTTGGCTTACATCACTGCCATGTACATACAGTGGAGTTTATGGTGTTGGGTGATCGGTTTCTCATGTGATCCTAGAGAGGGGAACAAGATGTACACTATTTTAAAATATCAACTATAGGTTTTATTGTGAGATTCAAAACATTTCCCTCCTCCAATACATCATTTTTCCGAAATAAGGTCCCATGGAGGTCCACCAGAAAGGGAGGGACTTCGGCTCTCTATAATGGAATGTTCATTTACAATAAGAATTGTTTTAATACTTTGTGACAGCAGAAATCACAACAGAAAGTAATTATCACTGGCTATCAGGGCCAAAATCCCTATCAAAGTCATTTTCTTTAATTATAAATAGGCTTGGGAACAATGTGTCTTGATTAGGCACAGATATCTCAGACAGAAGTGACTGATTATGTTCTAGCCAGGGAGGCAAATGGGACAAGTTTATAGGCAATGATGAAGAGAATAGTGAGAAAACACTTCTGTTCCTGACATCACTGAACCACAACCAGAGTAGCCATTGTCAAATAGCAAAGTTAGTATGGGGAGCAGAATCAAAATATATACACTTGATTGAGTGTTAAAGGTCCCCTATTATACTGTTTTTCATCAATATATGATAGGTCTCAGATCTATACAAAACATGTCTCTGAAGTGTTTGGCTCCAAATACTAAACAGATCATGCATTGTAGCATCCCATAAACCCCTCTGTTTCAGCCCTGTTTCAAAAGTGCTGATTCTCTGTCTGTTACTTTAGATGAAAATAAGGAGCCACTCCCCACGCCCCTCTGAGAGATATTTGGTTAAAAAGAACACAATGGTGCTCTAGGAGGAGATTCAGGTGATAAGGTGTGGGGGGGGGGGGTTACCTTGGTTGGTTATTGGCTAATGGTTACTGTTGGGGAATAATTGAATAATTGAATAAAGCTGACCGACCTTGAGCAGCCGTTATCTCCCATAAGGAGGGGCTGCCCTAGCATATTGTTGATGTTGCCAGTTTATGACCGGGCAACTCTTTGTCAGAGATAGTTATTGTTGTGGGACACCTGGAACACATCCTTCTCAGGGTGTAGATGACCCCGAGCCATAAGCGACAACAACTGTGATTCAGTGTCCTCAGCTGTTTAGTCAAGATTGAACTAGTTAAAACCTCGAGCTACAGGAGGGTTCTTCAGAATTGATTGTGGCATCTCAACCGCTGTGTCAACTCGTGACACACCACCTGTCTTGTCAATTCTCCGGCCGTAACTCCAAATAAACCATCAGTGTTTGGCATCAAAGCTCCAGCTCTCCTCGTGTCTCTCTGAGTCCTGTTTCCAATTGCTACAGAAGTTTCCCCCACAGTTACACAAGCCAAAAAATCGTTATGACATCATAAAGTGGCCAAAATCTGATCAGCTAATTTTCAGACAGGTTTTTATATAAATGGATCAGGACAAAAAGAGAGTGAATCTTTTTTCCTGACACTTTCAGAATCTCTTTACACAGAGGGGACACATGTTTATGTATAAAAGACATGAAAAAGTGGATTTTGCATAATACAGTAGGTGACCTTTAAAACTTCAATTCCCCACACCTCTTATTTTGGGCAGCAGGATTCCTTTGAAGAGTGGTGCAATACTGCGGTAGTGGTGTAGAAACCATGGCTAAAATGTAGGGGAATTCTAGGTGGGTTTAATATGGTTTGGCAAATGAACAATCACATAGGCAAGCACTCTTTAAAGGAGTAGTAAATAATATTGGGAAATGTGCTTTTTTACTGTTGCCTGAAGTTGAACAAGTAGATCTATACCGCTTTAATATGTGTCTGTGCAATATGTGCCCAGGGTTACACCCTCTATCGTCCACATCCTGCCCTCTTACTTTCCCCTTACCAATCTCTTTCATCTTGTCTGCCCGCAACAGATGAAATCTGTCCAGGCAAGTTGTTTTCCTTCTGTTTCAACCCATCATGCTAAACCAAGCTAAGCGGATGCTGGCTCCAACCTCATATTGAACAACAGATAGGCATGAATAAGTTCAATATTTAGAAGAATGGAGTATGTTTCCTAAGTTAAACCATAGACTGCAAAGTTTAAAACTGGAAATGAATAAGAACCAAGAATATTTGTTATCTTAGGGCATAAAGCACAGTTGTTAAGTCATCAAAGGATGTTATAGGCTGCCAAGAAGCAAGATATCTTCAGCTGGTCTTTTATGAGCCCACTGCCAGTAAAAAGTTATTTCAACCCAATTAAGCTATACCATCTTTTTCCATCTTTGTTTCCGCACCATCGTCCTACACATGCTGAAAACTCTTCATGATGTATATGAGGAAAAGTGCTAACAGGGAAGCAGCCAGATAGATACAAATAATAGCCAATCAATGTTTAAACTATAAAAATATAGTTTCCAAAGTAGACAGGAAGTAGAAAGGTAAACAGACAAAGATACTTAGAATGATTCTAACCATCTCTAGAAGGTGCATAATATATGGATGTACAAAATCATAAATGAAAACCTGCAAGAGCACCATGACTGTAAGACTAAAAAGAAAAACATTTGTGAGAAAAACATTTTATCATGTGGAGAGAAATATGGTTATAGAAAGCAGAAAGACAGAAAGTGCTAAGGGAAAGAGGGGGCAAGTTTGTAGTAACACTGAAATCTCACAGTCCTGCACCCCTCCTGTACTCTGCCCCCTTCCCAAATTTGCTGGACCTGATATGGGGATACATTAGGTTAGCGCTGGAGGTCCCAATGCGGCTATTACCTGACTAACTCAACACTGTAGCACTGCCAGCCAGACATACACAGCCTCTGCACCGCACAGAGCCACCTCTGTTCGGAGGACCCGGCCAACGCTGGACTTACTGTTCATGTCCTGGCCCGGACAGAGAGACAGAGAGAGACAGAGAGAGACAGAGAGACAGAGTGTGTGTGTGTGTGTGTGTGTGTGTGTGTGTGTGTGTGTGTGTGTGTGTGTGTGTGTGTGTGTGTGTGTGTACTAGACGTGCTGGGTTTTTAATTCACTTTTGACAGCTGTGGCCAGACTGATTAACTGATCTCAATTTTTTTTTATTAGGCAAGTTGTGTCTTAACTGTAAAGAGGCCTCCTTACTGATACAAGCTTACCTAGGGAAGAAAAGTGTTATGCCAATGTGTCAATGATATAAATCTCAGTGTTTCCCTTGCATTATGACAAATGTGATACACCAGCTTCACTTTGTTCCTACATCTGCTCACCATGTTGTTGATATGTGTGAGAAGTTGCTGGAGGTAATCCTTCAGTCTGCTCATGTGCAGGCAGGTGTCTTTCAGAGTGTCGGGCCTGTCAGCCTGGCCCCAAGCCACTGCTTTGTCAAGCCAGAACTGCAGCGCCGGGACGTCCAACGGGGGCTGGGTCCGCTGCTGCAGCTGAGACATTGTGCTGCTTCCCAATGGACTCAGGTCATATGTAAGAATCCTAAGTAAGAATAGGAAAAAAAAACTATTATTTTAATATCTCTCCTTAATCATTTTTAGTTTGTGGGTATGAGGGGTTCTGCAATGTCAAAATGTTTACATGGTGATCTTAGCATTTGGAGACTAAATTAACACAGTGCTGTTAAAGTGATGGTTGTGTGATAAATAGTAGCCAATAAGTCTAATAAACAGTTTACACCCCATTAATATATTATTTAAGTACAATAAATGTAGGTATACTGGTGACGTAAAAAGTGCACAGTCATCAATCAGCAGTTAAAACTTTTATATGAAATAAAATAAAGGCTATTGAATATGCATTAAATGTGTCGTAACTTGTTACCATAAATAAAGAAAAAGATGTGTATCAAACAATTGCTTGTATGTTATGTGTGACTTATAATGAAATGTAACACTTGGAATGTTTATAAAGGTACAGTGAATGCAACTGCCCTCCAAAATAAATAATGTTCTATTGACAATCTCTTTGTTCCACTTCAAAAACATATATTTAGAAAATAACATCAGTCCAATTAATAGGGCTGAATGATATATCGTGTCATGGCGATAACCGCGATATGCGCATGCGCGATATTCACATCGCAGGGACGTGCGATTTTATTAATATTTTTTATTAATATTTTTTTTTTTTTCATTTTTTTTTTTTAGGACGTGCGATATTAAGTAGGTAAATTAACTCAAACACGTCATGTTACAATTATTTTGCTGCTTGCTACAAAAGGAAAACTTGCGCGGCTCTCATGTCAGGGGTACTTGAGTGAGTGACATGCAGGCTCTGCATGCACAGCAAACCACCAATCACAATCATTCTTGATCAGATCACAGCAGGCCCGGCCCCGCTAGTTTGCAGACCATCAAAACACCGGTAAAAAATTAGCGAGGCACAGGAGGACAATACCGGCGAGAATGAAGATTTACTTCCAAAAAGAAAAGCAACATCTGCCATCTGGAACTATTTTGGATACAAAAAGGTTGATGTTGACCAAACAAAGGTACTTTGTAGACAGTGCCATGCAGTTGTTTCGGCAACCCGAGGTAACACGTCGAATTTACTCGCCCATTTGAATAGACACCACAAATCTCTGAATGACGAGTGCAGAGTCAGATCTGAATGCCATCCACAGCCAAAGCAAAAAACTATTTCAGATGCCTTTGCCGGTGTTACACCATATGAGAAAGGTTCAAAACGGCATAAAGACATCACAGATGCCATAACATTTCACCTGGCAAAAGACATGGTACCAATTTACACCGTTACCAAAGAGGGTTTTAAGAAAATGATCCGGTCACTTGATAAGCGGTACGTAATACCGTCACGCACCTATTTTTCTCAAGTCGCCACCCCCGACCTGTACGAGAAATGCAGGGCAAAAGTTGAAACAGAGCTGTCAAAAGTGGAATACTATGCTGTTACAACGGACTTGTGGTCCAGCCGGACAACGGAGCCGTACATAAGCCTGACGGTGCACTTTATTGATGAGGACTTAGAACTGAAAAGTCGCTGTTTGCAAACTGCATTTTTCCCAGAAAATCACAAAAGTGAGAACATCGCAGCGGGGCTGAGAGAAGCGGTGGCTGCTTGGGGCCTGGATGAGACACGTCAAGTCTGTATAACAACAGACAATGCTGCAAATAAAATTATAATAATAATATAATTTGTCATAAAACAAATAACTTTGAAAAATTGAACTACTACATAACAATATCAACTTGTGAACCATTTTGTTTCACAAACCTTTTTTTAAATCAAAATGTCTTAGCAACAGTCAGTGCAAAGTAAAACAAAGTGTTCTTGGTCATCATGGCTAGCCTAAACAAATAAAGATCTGCTTAAAGGTGGGGTAGGTACGTTTGAGAAACCGGCTCGAGATACACTTTTTGTTATATTCCATGGAATGCTCTTAACATCCCGATAGCAATGAATATCTTAAGTGCTTTGACCAAAAATCCATAAAAAAATGTCATCTGTGGAAGCCGTAATACTGTAAAAAGCACGACCAATCATTTTAGCCGGCCCGGCTAAAATAACTGGATGGCCTACCTGCCTGTCAGCCTTCCATCTGTGCACAAACTTATCTCGTGCCCTCATTGGTCATGTGCGCGTTCGTGTGTGTTGGAGGAGGGGCTCGATAAGGAAGTGGCAGATTTTCTCCGGTCGTGTATTTTCAAATTCTAGCGATCTCGAGCCGGTTTCTCAAACTTACCTACCCTACCTTTAATTAATTAATTATTATATTTATTTTAAGTTGTAATTTTGTAAACCACTCAGGGAGCTGGTGTATAGCTGTTCTTAATTTTATTTGTATAATGTTGTTTAAAAGATGTCCACTACTTTGCTGCTATTTGCATAAAAAACGTTTTAATTGTGGAATAAAAAGTTAAATGACCTATTTTGTCACGTATGTTAATTCCCTAATGTGATAATGAAGCTTCTTATAGTTTAATGTAATACGTTTAATCTCTTGGATCCCTTCAAGACACCACTCTTCTTCATTCACAGATGAACCCCCTTATTTGAGGGTAAGCAACACGCATTATCATGACATGTTAGATCATGACTTAAGGTATGATGAGTCAACCAGTTAAAGGGCCCATGTCATGCTTTTCCGGTTATTACCCGTCCCCTTGTGTGTTATGAAGGTTTTTCTGCATGTAAACGGTCTGCAGAGTCACAAACCCTCAAAGTACACCCTGTAGCGAGTAAAACTCTAACACAGAAAATACCTCCCCAAAACGCCTCGTTGGAGATACGTCATTGTCCATTTGATTCTTCCATTTCGTTCCGGGTACGGCATGATGTCAAGCCGTACCCGGAACGAAATGGACCAATCCGTGGAGCCGTTACGTTACGTCCGCGGAGCCGTTACGTTAAGCCCCCGCTGATTGGTCCAAATTGACCAATCCACGGACTTCCTCACACACACATCTACGTGCAGGGAGCTCTGCTGATTTCTCCTCCCTGGCTGCAGGCTGATAACAGACAGTTGGGATCGCGGCGAAATTCTCTCTGCAGACCCATTCTCACAGCGTTTATCAACCTTTTTCTTACTCAATATCAAGCCACACTTATTGTTTTTACTTCGGCTGTGAGTTTGTGTGTGCTCAGGATGAGTTTGGCTGTGTTTGGCTGTGTATCCTAAACAAGGAAACAACACCTCCACGGAGCTCAGCGCGATTCACAACGTCCCGACCAATCAGAGCACACTGTGCTCACAGGGAGGGTGGGGGCTGGAGCTTTTGGAGCTACAACGAGCCTTTAAAGGCAGAGAGTGAAATTCAGTGAATACACGTAGTTTACAGAGATGCTGTATGAGAAACCAATGTGAGTTTGGAAAAATGCACAATATAAATCTATTCTAGTAGACCTCAACAATGGAATTATGATCAGTGGAAATGGCCATGACATGGGCCCTTTAAGATCCAGACGTCCGTGACTAAAATCCTTCATCCGGTTAAATATAGTTAAAAAAAACGCAATATATATCGCAGGGGGAAAAAATATCGCAATGTCAGTTTTTTTCAATATCGTGCAGCCCTAGTCCAATACCTGCCCATGTATTTAGTTGTGCACTAATGTATAATGTGCATGTGTGGCCCACATCATTCCCCCATTTTCTATTAGAGCAGGAATGGATAATACAATAATAATTGGCAGTAATGTGTGGTAAAATATATTCAAGCATATTATGTTAATCTAGTTAAACTCTCATAACCACAGTCTAACGATCACATTTCAAACACACGCACACACGCACACACACGCACACACACTCATGGAAGCCTACTGAGAAATAAACGGCACATTCTTCACCTTTTATGATGATGGAGGGAAAAACATGGGGGGCAGAACACAAGTGTGTGTATTAGGATGTGTTTAGTGTGTGTATGTAGCCTGGGAATAGAGTGCGTGAGTGTGTGTGTTTGTTGTTTTTGCCATAATGACAGGTCTGTGTGAGACACCACAGGGTTGTGTTTTATGATCACCTCGTTACACACGATTTGTTTAATGTCTTGCCATCATCTCTGCTGGGAAGCCAATATGGCTCGCTGATGTGAATATATAAATACTAATTTTCGGGGAGAAAAAAAAAGCTAAACCGAATTAGGAACAAACGCCTCTTGTTGACTTGTGTCGGGAGCTCAGGTTTTAGTGAAGCAGAGGAGGAAATTAACCTTATGCCAACAGTCACCCACAAACTCTATCACACAGAGACCGCTACATGAAAACATAGGCATATATTGTGATTACAAAACTTGTTTGTCTCAAATGGATGTAATTTAACATAAATAAAATACACACATGCACATATACTGTACACTCTCGACAGCAGCTCTTGGACTTGTTAAACACTTTGGAGCAGAAACGAGATGTGACGGGTCAAATATTATCTTTGAAGATCTGTTAAACTAAGCTTGTGGACTTTGGGTAAGAGTACGTTTGCGGTTTCAATTAGGAGATTAAGTTAAACATCACTTTAAACAAATGTACTTCTGTGTGCTTCAGTATGATATATTTAAGAACACCTGGATTACATGAAAGTTGTTTAAAGTTTGTCTTACCAAGAGTCATAAAAGGAACAGTTTTGCTTAAAGGTGGGGTATGTAATTTATTTTAGAAACACTTTTTGTTATATTCCATGGAATGCTGTTAACATCCCGATAGTATGGGCTCAGAACAGTCTCATAATACACACATGCACACAGAAGGATTCACACTTGCATTTCATGATCCGCAAAAGGATTCACACTTGTATTTCCGGATCCACACTTGTGTTTTTCAATGCACACACAAATGTGTTCCGTTTCATATACATGTAAATAAAATCCAAATACAGAAAAAAGTTTTACATATGTATTTTTGATCCTCACATATTTGTTTTCCGTTTAAATACCCTGAACCTGCAAACACAAACCGCTTTCTGTGCATGGATCGCTGTGCATTCGTGTGTGGGTTTTTTGAGACTCCCCTGACGGTCACCCGATTCGTACTTGTAATTTTTTCTATCTATAGCCAATCAGATGTCTCCTTCATTCTAAGCCAATCACATGAGCGGGTCCCCACGAGGGTATGATTTATTGCGTTCATGACACTTCATATACGCATTTTGCGCTGTCCGGAGCAGGGTTTCCGCGGACAGAATTTATTTTACCGGACAAATTTGAAACTTACCGGTCATGTTTCAATAATAATAATAAGAAGAAGAATTGTGAAGCAGAGTTTCCGTTAGCAGGTAATTACCGGACTATGACCGGATATGGCTAATAACACGGGAGTAAGGATCATCTCTTTTTCCTCTCTCCCTCCCTCTCTCCTGACAGCCCGTCAGTTTCTCATGCAGCTCGCTAAAACTTCACTCGCGTTTATGTCCATATCGATCAGATCCAGTTCTCCTGTTCGGCCTTTATAGAGAGCACCGATCAAACTATTAAGAGTGAATATCGGCCGATAATGACCGGCGGGCTCCCCCCGTTGACAGTTCACTGTCTAGCACTGGCTTCGTAGTGCACTGATCGATTAGGCTAAGCTAACCTGTAGCTGCTCCCTCCACACTCACAACAACTTCATACAGACATAAATAAAGCAGCTGTATTCGCCATACAGGAAGCACACATTTAAAACGGTTTTGCCTGCCGTTTTTGTGTACACAAGCATTCATTAATGGTTCGGAAAGTGGCCCTGTACCTTAATAATATAAAGGCTTGTATTTGCGTGCATTTCCTGCTCGGAAAGTGGCAATGTACTGAGAGTGGAAGTGTCCTGAAATTAGCGACCTGTCAGCTCCGGACAGCGCAAAATGCGTACATGAAGCGCTACGTCATAAACGCAAGAAATCTACCCTCGTGGGGGCGCGCTCATGTGATTGGCTTAGAATTGAGGAGACATCTGATTGGCTATAGATAGAAAAAATTACAAGTACGAATCGGGTGACCGTCAGGGGAGTCTCAAAAAACCCACACACGAATGCACAGCGATCCATGCACATAAAGCGGTTTGTGTTTGTAGGTGCAGCGGTTTTAAACGGAAAACAAATATGTGAGGATCAAAGATACATATGTAAAACTTTTTTCTGTATTTGGATTTTATTTACATGAAACGGAACATATTTGTGTGTGCATTGACAAACACAAATGTGGATCCGGAAATACAAGTGTGAATCCTTTTGCGGATCATGAAATACAAGTGTGAATCCTTCTGTGTGCATGTGTGTATTATGAGACTGTTCTGAGCCCATACGATAGCAATGACTATATTAAATGCTTTGACAATAAATACATTAAAAAATGTCATCTGTGGAAGCCGTCGCGCTGTAAAAAGCACGACCAATCATTTTAGCCGGCCTGGCTAAAATAACTGGATGGCCTACCTGCCTGTCAGCCTTCCATCTGTGCACAAACTTATCTCGTGCCCTCATTGATCATGTGCGCGTTCGTGTGTGTTGGAGGAGGGGCAGATTTTTTCCGGTTGTGTATTTTCAAATTCTAGCGATCTCGAGCCGGTTTCTCCAAAATGACCTACCCCACCTTTAACTAATTTAGGCTAATAGAATTATATATTTCTTCAAAATGTTTCCCCCCAAGGGGCAACATATGTCACATGACCACTTGCAACCACTCATCAAAACACACCTGATTTAGTCGAGAAACCACTCACTTAAGACTTGTGTTTTATAAATATATATGTTCAAAATTCGATCAATTCAAACCAAATAGTATTAATACACTTGAAACATTTTAAACATCTATTTTTATTGATTTTTAATAAACTTTCTATTGCTTTTCTATACTGAAAAGTCTTGATTTTGTTCATATAATGTGACCTAATGACTCCAAATCAATGCAGCCATGTATCACTACACTGGACAAGTACGAGACGAAAACAATTTTTAAAGTGTTTGTTTGTCCACCTTTCATTTTATATGAATATTTAAAATGAAATGTGGTATATTGTTTGTTGAAAAGTCAGATTTATTTTCTATAGCTTACATGAAATGTGAACAAATGAATTTGAAGCCATCATAATCAGATATCATTCTAACTACAATGGACAAAAAAGACAAAACTATTTTTTTAGTGGATTTTAGTCCACCTTGTATTTTATACGAACGTTATAATTAAAATTCAAGAGTTATTAAAAGGTCTCAATTTGTATACCTTTCGTGTCATCCGACCCAGTAACTCCAACCTAATGCAAAATAATTTCTATTGGCTTTAAGACACAAATTGCTCCTTTTACCCGGGAGTTTCCTACAACACAAACTCACCTACGTTAAATGTTGGAGTGCAACAACTGCACAACACCACAGGATGCCAGTGTTCGCCCCACTCTACTGCAGTGACACATCGTTCATTTGAAGATTCGAAATAAGTTCAATATACAACTGCTAGACGACGTCTTGCAAACTCAAGTTAGGATTGAATGATTAGATCACAAGGGAAAGTATTTGCATCCTCCTTATTAGCTACCTGTATTTCAGCTGTTAGCTTGTTAGCAATTGCATTACTCTAGTCGTATTCGTTAGCTACTTTAGCTTGAAATAGACTTACATGCAAACAAGACTTACACTCATCAAAATGAAATCTCCAAAGAGCAGACGTTTAGTTAATCCATTTGTGTCTAGTCTTCAGACAGGTTTCTTCTTGCGATGTAAACAAACTGAACTTCCCTCTTCTCTCGGAGTTCCGTGTAAGGAGGAAGACTATTGGCTGTGATTCACTTCCTCGCACTCGTCCTCCTGGCAGTGCATGCTGGGAAATTGAGTCACATGGCTGAACAGCAAGAACGTTATCAGAATATAGAATACCTTTATTCGTCCCATAAAGGGGAAATTGACATTGTATCATTATTATACAAGACAATATAGGCATAGACAATATAGATAGAGGTGCTTGTGTCCTTATATGTGTGAGTAAGAAAGCACCTTTTAAAACAGGGTTAGGGTTATGATAATGGTTAGAGTTAGGGTTATGTAAGTATATACATTTAATCTTTTCCTTCTTACAAAATGTAAACCTTTTTGCTTATATAGGTGCTTATGTACTTAGCTGTTTAAGTAAGATAGCTCATTTTAAAACAAATCTGTTTCACAGGATACCAATACAGAAAAATAAGATACAAATACAATTATAAAAAGAAAGGAGAAACACACATAACCAGGACACGAAAAGTTAGGCCACAAGACAGGAAAATAAAGTTTTTGGGAACGTTTTAGAAACAGTTTAAAGACTTATCTTAAAAAGAGGGAAGAAAACGGGGGGAAAATTGTGTCATTCATTTGGTGGTTGAGGGTCCAGGGTGAAGTAGAATGCATACCATAGGCAGGAATTTAGGGGTCCTGAGTGTGTCCCTCTGGAACCCAAAGCAAACTTTGAGGGGTTCCTGGCCTGCATGGCTCGAACTGACAAATCACCCAGAGGCTCCAGCCCGGCCCTGAGCAGCCCACCATCAGGAAACGGTTGTTTAAACATACGTGATGTCATGTGTGTGAGTGAGTTTGTGCCTGTAGGAGTGCATGAGTGTGTGTGCTTGTAGGCATAATGTGCATTGGTGCCGGCATGAGAAAGAGATATATGTGTGTGTGTGTGTGTGTGTGTGTGTGTGTGTGTGTGTGTGTGTGTGTGTGTGTGTGGTGTGTGTGTGTGTGTGTGTGTGTGTGTGTGTGTGTGTGTGTGTGTGTGTGTGTGTGTGTGTGTGTGTGTGTGTGTGTGTGTGTGTGTGTGTGGGGGGGTGTGGGTGTGGGTGTCTGTGTGTGGGTGTGCTTGTCTAAGTCTTGTCAAAACATCAGCATATGGATCAGGAACTAGGTCCCTGGCAAAAACATGGCAAAAACTTGAGAGGGTATGTGTTGATGCCCAAAGTCGAAACCCACACAATGCTGTGTGTGTGTGTGTGTGTGTGTGTGTGTGTGTGTGTGTTGTGTGTGTGTGTGTGTGTGTGTGTGTGTGTGTGTGTGTGTGTGTGTGTGTGTGTGTGTGTGTGTGTGTGTGTGTGTGTGTGTGTGTGTGTGTGTGTGGGCCTATGCTTGCACTGGCACACATGTGGAAGCTAAGAGAAATGTAGTGTAAACCACGTGTTTTTACTGTACAGCTACTCTGTTATTATCACAGAGCCAAGAGATGGGTTGTCACGCAGTGGGGCAGCAGCTCCTCCACAACTCAGCGTGGGTGTGTTTGCATGTGTGTGCACTTTCATGATTAGAGTGGAGGCCTGATCACAGCCACAGCATGCTGTTATTTCAATGTCCTGTCTTAGTTTTGTTTTAGTTTTTTACAAGCTGAATATGGACCTTATTGGCAACAAAATACAACTGAACAAACACAACGAACACTAGTATTTATTTTATTAGGACATTTTAGGTTTTTAGATAAACTCAGTTGATAATTAATGTTTCAATTACACTATGCAAATTATTTATTACATTTAGGAGGACAACATGAATAGCACAGAATGTCACTTTCTGGCCAAAGTGGGATGAAGGAAGTCGTAACTTGTTTATTATCCAAAGAAAACTCCCATATATAGAATTGGGAAAAAGTCGGATGATTGCTCGTTTTCTTGTGATCGAGATGGAAATGGTTGGAGAGCTTGGTTTTCAGTCTCTGGAGCTTATCCCGGGCTGACCCAGACCTGGAGCTGATGACAAATCAGCTGTGCAGCAAGTCAGTCCTGATCCGGACCAATCCTAATAACAGTTCTGGTCCAGACCAAAGGCATTACCATCCTGGCTATGCTGCTGTGGAAAGACATAACCTGACGCATGACTCAGAGCACCACACACAGATGCTTCTCTGGGCTGCACCGCGTGTACATCTGTGTGTGTGGTGTCTAATGCTGGATACAGCAAGAGGAAAATATGAGATCTGTAATAGGCACTATTGAGCTCTCAATTGGCTGTTTTCCCAAAGAAGATCAACTGGTGCACAAAACCTACTTATAACCTGCAGTTTTCCTTTACACACAATAAATTATAAACATGTGCATGCTCACACAAGATGTTTAATTTAAGTCTTTGAGGTTATGTCAACAAAGTTTATATGTGTCTCAGTTCTGCTCAGATAAAAACAGGAAAAATAACGATACATTGTAATCACACACACATTGAAAAAACGGGGCCCCAAAACAGCATAGGACTTGAGAATATTTTTAGAGCATTTATGATAAAAGTGGAAAAAGGCTTATCATGTGTATTGTGTCTTGTGGCTTGTGTACTGTCTGGTACTGTCTCAGATTTGTGCTTTTTTTTTTCTTCATGTTCCTGTACCTGCTGCCTATTATTCTGAAGTTATGAAAAGGAAAATCCAACTAATATTTGTTATTGCGGTGTGCAGCACCTGTGGTAAGCATGAGATCTCCAGTAAAAGAAAAGCTAAAAACGCGGCAACTAAAACCAATTATTCATTCTTCACTTTGCTCTCTCCCACCTTGTTTCAAGTATTGTTTTATCTTAAGTTGTTTTTCCTTACTTCTTTATTTTTCCCTTTTTCATTTTGTTTAAATGCGTCTATGTGTCAGTCCTGTTATTTGTGTGGATGAAATAGCTGTCCTTGAGCCTGAGGACAGTCAAAGCTATGGAGGTTGGGAAGGAAGGAGACATTCAAATTAAAGTAGAGGAATGTGCCGTTAAAAATCTTCAGATCCGGCTTAACTCTGAATGTCTGGCTATAAGGAGAGAGACAGAGAGACAGAGAGAATGAGGGAATGAGGGAGAAGGCCACAGAGATGGTGAGGAAAGAGAATTTGAGATGACAGAGGAAGAGCTGTCCGAGGTGCCTCGAGACAGCCAGATACCTACTGGCCTTCATAAAAGGATTTGTGTCTCACACAAAGTTTTAAAGGAGTTGTTTTTGTTTCTTCCTGTGTTCGTCTGTGTTGTGTTTTTTGGATCGAGTGTGATTTTTATTTAAAAAAAATTGGTTTAATGCTCAAGCCTAAAGTTTGACACTTGTTATGATAAGAAGACAAGTATCTTTTGGAAGACCTTTAACACTCTAAAGGCAATAGCTTCACCCAATGTGTGCCGTAGCAATCTTAGTCACTTTCTATTCTCTTTTTCTTTTTATAATTAATTTCCATCAAGTCACTTGAAGCAGGCAGGGTTGTAGTATGTATGGAGAGTTTTGGGAATACAAATCCAAAACAGGAAAATGTAAAAACTCTTGATTGGAATAGAAAATATCTCAGTTAAATTAGGGTTAAAAGATCAGGTTATATTCAGAAGGGAGTGTTTTTTTATCACAATTTCAAGTAGTTATGTCTGTGCCATCTGTTCACTAGCTTGGGAGTGTAATTCATACTTTTTTTTTGTGTTATTTAGAGCTACATTTAATAAGGACATTTTGAAATAAGTTTAGCATAGTTATTCTTTATCTTGGTCTATTTGTTTTGGGGTTTACATACAGTATATATGTCTCACCCCCTTGTTCAAGGGTTTAATTGGATTATTATGCTCAACCAAAATGACACATAAAATCAAATGAATGTCGAAAAGATAAGGGTTTCAGAAAAAAGCTTTAAAAGGAAATTGAGAGACCTACCAGGCCTCTACAGCTTTAAAGTGTCTGGTGTGAGCAGTCACAGAAGATGTTTGTAAAATCCTGCCTGGAGGAACATCGTACCTTACATAACCCCTTTTTACATGTTTCACATAAGGGTATCACTTATAGGTCTGGTAAGGTCAAATACATGGAACAGAACAACTTTACAATAAGGAAAAACACATATTTACCAGATCCTAATTTCTCCTACATGCACAAACACTTGTATCTACAAGGACACACACTTTATGGCAATTCCAAGCATTTTTAAAGCATGCTTCTTTATTGCTTTGAGAGGCTGGGATTGGCTGAGAAAGGGAGAGAGGTTCTGTGACAAATGTGAAACAGAACTGCATGCATAAGCCTGTTCACATTGGAACACACACACACACACACACAAAAAAACACACACACAAACACGTTCACAAACATTGAATAACACATTTACATTTATAAATACTATTAGTACCATTCGTATCTAATAATAATGTCTGTGTTGGTCTCTTTTTGTGTGCATTTCAAAGGTTAACTTGTTTTTTGGAGTATGGACTATGGATACAACACAGCTGCCTGCTAAAATCTGGTAATCAACCAGAAAGAAGAGACCAGCTACAACCAAACCTTTGCAATCAGTCAGTAAGAAAATCATTGCCACTAACATCCATCTGTTACTTCTTACTAACTTCAAACTTCTGGGTGTTCTGTTCACTGTCAGAACTTGATTATCTTAATAATATTCATACATAAATAAATGTGTACCCCTCCGTAAATTGGTTAACAATTGGTCTGAAGTACTGTACGACGCCATGTGTTTTTAAATATATACTTGCAGTGGACAAAAAGTGTTTGGTCCTTTTTTTATTGCAAGAATCGTTACTCTCAGACTAGTAGTTTTTGGCTTTATCAGCTTAAAATGGGGATTCAGTTTATAGTGTTTCAAATGCATGAAATCACTCACACACACATAACCACACTCCTGCTTACCATTAGTCCAGCAGATTGCAGGGAAATTGAGTGGGAGTGTTAAACACACACATCCATCTATCTGCCCCTCTGTCCAAGATAATTACACATTTCCTGCTCTAAAACCTTCTCTGACAACTTACACTTTAGGCATGTCACTGTTTTTGTGTGCGTGTGTCTGT